AATACTTCAAAAAATACTTGTTTGGGCCCACACATCTACCATGAAATACTAGTTCATCCAACTCTGTTTCTATTTCTTCAGGAATTAATCCATTCCACTTGATTAATGGGAGAATACTCAAACCACTAAAAATCCAGTCTGGGTGTCCTGGTTACCTACAACAACTCACCACAGTGTTTCTCCTAGGTCACTTGCCTTCGTAGGGCGCTCATCTTGTGGGTATTCTTTTGTCGATGGGGTGGGGGGAGGGGGAGGCGCCTCTGTGTTGTGTGTTAGCTTAGCGCTGTCTTAGTGCCAGTAGTTGGGGGGGGGGGGGGGGGGGAGGGGGGGGGGGGGGGGGGGGGTGCTACGTCTGTAGCATCTTTGCTAGCGTGTCTGTTTTGCACACCACAAGCTTAGCGCTACATTAGTTCTGGCAGTTGTCGACTGGGGTGGGGGGGTAGCGAGCTTGAGAGAAGCGGAGTGTGCTCTATTCACATAAGGAGAGGTGTCAGACTACTTTTTGTTGTATTGTGCTCTCTAAAATGGTAAGTGAATCAAGTGTCTCCTTATGGAGGTAAATGTAGACATTCAAGAGCTCGTTAAAATACACCAGAATGCATGAAATGGCATCTACTTTATTCAACATTTTCTCGAGGAGGACCCCTAGACCCCCCCCCATCGCCCCCCCCCCCCCCCCCCACACACACACACACAGTACTAATGCTTCTGAGGCCAGTGACTAACATCCATAGCAAACACAACTTTTTTTTTTTTTTTTTTAGCCTTTATTTATACAGGTTAGTCTCATTGAGCCACGAGAACTCATTTTCAAGAGAGACCTGTTTTTAGGGAGCACATGGGTTAAGGGCCTTGCTCATGGGCCCAGAGTGGGGCGAATGAGGGTGGGGGCAAGTGTGGGTGTTTCACCTACCCTACCCACAATTTTGATGTTGTCAGGGCCGGGGCGTGAACCGGCGATCTTCGGATCACAAGCCCACCTCTTTAACCTCTGCGCCACCACTCCCCCACTCCTCACTTTCTTGTGTTTTTAAGTTTTTATATGCACTCTAATATTATTATTATATTTTAATACACTTTTGTTTTATTTTTTTACATTTGTTACATGGAAAATGGACTGTACTTATATAGCACCTTTCTATCTTATCGAGATACTCAAAGTACTTTACACTACAATCTGTGCCTTCTTTTCCCATTCATACAGCACTCTACTACAAAGTAGATCTCTACAAAGCTAATTGAACAAATCATTCTAAAGAGACTTATCAGAGATTTATCACATTTATACACCGATGGGACACACATCAGAGGCAATAAGGGTTTCAGTGTTGCTTAGTCAAAACACCAAGTGAAGACATTTGACCTAAAAAAGTTAAATCTGGTCCTCTGAACATTCAAAAAAAATAAAAAAAATGTAGAAACATTTCGTCTCTCATCCGAGAGACTTCCTCAGTCTGAGGAGCTGTATTCAGCTCAGTCTCTTAAATAGCACCATCTCAGAGTGGATCAACCAGTTTTGCTGCTGACAACCAAAACCAGCTGATCACATGGTCAAGAAGGACCATCAGCCTAACAATGGATCATTAGCACACTGATGGCTGTTTACTATTCACAGAGGGCTGAGTGATACTAGCAATCACAGCATTGTAAGAGGGGGACAGTTGAACCCGGAGGCCTCCACCCCTGTTTAATGATGGACGATTTCTTTTCACAAAGATGGCCTCCTTTACTCCTCTCTCAAACCATCGTTCCTCTCTGTCCAGGATGTGAACATCTTCATCCCTGAAAGAGTGACCGCTGACCTGGAGATGAGTGTAGACCGCAGAGTCCTGGCCTGATGATGTTGATCTTCTGTGCTGGGCCAACCTTTTGGTCAGTGGCTGTTTAGTTTCCCCAATGTAAGGGTGCTTTCACACCAGCCCTGTTTAGTCCGCTTTAATCGAACTCTAGCTCGTTATCTTAGAAAGTCCGGTTCATTTAGGGAGGTGTGAACGTGCCATCGAACTCTGTCACCGAACAAAAAGGCGAACTCTGGCCCGGGCTAAAACCTAGGTCTCGGTCCGGTAGAAGAGAACTCCAGCACGGTTCAAGTACAGTGTGAATGCAAACAGACCGGACCCCGCTCTGCAGGGTAAACAAACACGCATTTCTCTGACCTTATATGGAGCCGTCAGCTGCCTTGTGTGGAAAAACAATATTCTCCATGGTCTTCTGTCTCATCTTCTGCTCATGCTAAGTCCATTTTTGAAAAATGACAAAATATAACTCCTAAAACTGCTAAAACTTGATGCCACGTCGTTTTTATTTTTATTTACAGAAGAAGAAGAAGACGTGTCTTCAGAGGTTTTTGTGTCATTTCTTTCAGTATTTCTTGGTGCAGCACCCCCACAGGCGAGCGGGGGAACAGGTTGGTTCAACAGGTTGACTCGACTGCACAGTGCAGTGTGAATGCAAACGCACCAGCTCAAATGTAACAAAACGTCATGAATATTGGTCCCCAACCGAACCGAGTCTACCGGACTATCAGGTGTGAAAACGACCTAAGACTGATCACCCTCCTGACACTGAACAGCATACACAACATTGCTCTGTTTGTGCCGGGGGACTGGATCTTTGGGATGAACCAGTCTTTGCCGTAATGTATTTTGGGGTTTAAAAGCCACTGGGACGTTATGTTTAGAAAATAAACGTCTCAGTTTCTCTGATACTCCCTCAACATATGGAATGACCACTGGTCTGGGTCTGGGTTCCTCCTTTTCACCTGATGGCTGACTGGAGTCCTGTTTGGGTTTCTTCTCTGCTTTCAGGAAGGCCCAGTTAGGATATCCACATTGCTCTAGAGCCTGTCTTGTGTAGGATTTCTCCTTCTGCCTGGCTCCTGAGCTAGTGGGGACGCTGTCTGCTCTGTGATACAGAGTCCTGATGACTCCTAACTTGTGCTCCAAAGGGTGATGGGAGTCAAACTGCAAATACTGGTCTGTGTGGGTGGGTTTGTGGTACACCTCAGTTTGCAAATGTCCTCTATCAGAGACTGAGACCTCACAGTCCAAGAAAGCCAACCTGCCATTTTTTACATCTTCTCGTGTGAACTTGATGTATTTATCCACAGAGTTGATGTGGTCAGTAAAATGTTGGACTTCCTGAGATTTAATTTTAACCCAGGTGTCGTCAACATACCTGAACCAATGACTTGGTGGTGTCCCTGAAAAGGACGTCAAGGCTCTCTTTTCTACCTCCTCCATGTACAGGTTGGCAACAATAGGAGAAACTGGAGACCCCATAGCACACCCATGTTTCTGCCTATAATATTGCTCCCTATATGTGAAGTAGGTTGACTGCAGGCACAGTTTCAAGAGTTGACACAGTTCTGTAGATAGTGTGGTCCTGCTGCTCAAAGTGGTGTCTGATTTTAATTTTAAACTGACCACCTCTACTGCATCATCAACAGGAATGCACGTAAAGAGTGATGTGACATCAAAAGAGACCATTGTTTCATCAGTCTCCATGATGACATCCCTCACCTTGTCCACAAAGTCCATGGTGTTCTGTATGTGGTGTTCTGAGCTGCCAACTAAAGGACCAGATTTAACTCTTTTAGATTTTTCTACCTGGATTTTTGAGCATGCATCAGGATATGAAGACATTTGACCATTTTGGTAATGGCCACAGTGGCTGCAGTGAATCACAAGGTTACATGACCAAAGCGCCCTCTAGTGGTTTAATAATAAAATGGTAAGTTTTCTCTCAAAAGAGGTGTTCACACATCAGGCAAAATAACTCAAATCAGACTTTTTTACAATTTATTTTAGTTTGTTTTTATGACAGCATTTCACCCCCCCCCCCCACCACTACCACCACCACACACATACACACAAATTAAACCATAAAGCTGTGCTGCCAACGTGTAAAGTAAAGCACTTTTCACAAATTAAAAGTTAATGTGAAATTTATATTATTATTAATGTGTGCTTGAGCTACTTTACTATAGGCGATTATATTTTATGTCTTTAAATAATCTTATGCAGAGGGTGATATTGAAAACATACAACTTATGATTGTCAACATATTTTGTCTACTTAAAGTTAATTAAACTATGTGTAAAACAATTTTTGTTCATTTTTATTTGTTTTGATTCTCTGCTTTTTTCTGATTAAAGATAGTAATTGAATAAAGAGTTTAGTAAAAATTTCTATTAGCATTCCTTGAAGAAATGCATATCGCCCATCAAATTCTTGTTTGACTTTTAGATTAAGTTGTGCTGAAATTGTTTCGGTGGTTCATGCATTATTTTACTAAGATGCCCACGCACAGGCATGGGCAGACAACATTATTGGCTGCCTTTCTGTGGCGGGTGATAGCAGAGGGAAAGCAGGGAATCGAACAGCATGTGATCAGTCAGTGTCCTGATCAATCAGTATGAGTGCATGTGACGGTTGTCGCCCCCACACCCCCTCCCCTCCTCAGCCGGCTCGGTTGCTGTGGTTTCACAGTGCGGAGCTCTCAGCTCACCTCCTCCTCCCTCCGTCCTGCGTGCTCCAGCTTTCCTCCCATCGCATCATGAGCTGTTAGCCGCTTCCATCACCGGACGGATGCTGGGTCTCTCCTGCACAGTTCGGCCACACTGCCGCTCCGAACCTCCACAGCAGCAGCTGGAGGAGTGGCAGCCATAGCCTGCGTCCAGGAGCGTTGCAGAGACAGAGGAGCTGCAGCTGGAGGGGTCGCTGACGTCTCCAACACATTTATTTTTATTTTTTTTTGGGGGGGGGGGGGGGGGGTCAGATGCTGTCACGGGGCTGCCAGAGCGGCTGTCACACAGTCTGAGAAGCAGTGACAGAGGCCGGCCAGAGGCAGGTGGGGGTGGGGGGGTCCGGCTCGCCCTGCCCTGCCCTGCCGTGCCTCTGCCGGACAGACATGAACCTCCACTCGGCCCGGGCGTCCGTGGCCATGCTGCGGATGATGGGCTGTGCTAATGGGCGCTCTGCTCGCCATCTCCTCCACAGTGACTGCGTGGTGGATGAGAAGACCGTGGTGCTCCAGAAGAAGGAGAACGAGGGCTTCGGCTTCGTCCTGCGAGGGGCTAAAGGTAAGACAATTTCCTTACTGTCTCTGTGTGTCTCTCCTGTTTGTTGTGCATGCAGCTCTGCAGACCCCATCGTGCACGTTTGATGTGTAAAATCCACACTGTGTACTATTAGCAGGGTTTCTGTATGACAGATTGCATCCCACCTTCAAAAGCATGTAAATAACTTTGAAAGCAACTTTAATGTGAATCCGCCACTCTCAGTCCTGCATCAGCTTAACTGAGTTCTCTGTGAGGTCAGGTGCTGGCTAAATGAGTTTGCTCCATGGATCCAGAGGGACATGTCTCACAGCGCCCACCATCCTCTCCTCCTTTCCCAGCGCATCGAGTTGCTGTGATGAGTGGCATATTTAAGCAGGTTGAGATTTCACCCAGCTGTGAGACTGGCTCTAAATATAGCCAGATTTATCAGCTGGTTTTGATGTTGACTCTGGCTGCGTTATAATCCACAATGGTATGGTACACTTCCATCCTTCCACTGGTTCTTGTTGAGGACTCTGTTTGTGATTTGGTACTATTCCATTCTTCTACTGGTTCCTGTTCAAGGCTCTGTTAGTTTTTGTAAGACACACTCTTGAAGAGAAATGGAGGAGATGGAGATGGTGGAAACAAAGGATTTTGCTGAGAAAAACAAGAAGAATGTTCTAGTCTCCCTGACACACACTGGCTTTGCCCTGAAGGAAGTGACCCAGCCATGCTTATCCTGCGCACGGGGGGGGGGGGGGGGGGGGCATGGACACACAAACGCTCTGATGCTCGAGCTGTCACATAAGCTTACATCATTTTCCTTTCTCTGCAGTTCTACTCTTGTTTTTAGAACCTTCTCTGTCTTTGCCTGTCATATAAACATCACCACCGCCAATCGCACCCCATCCATGAGATCCTCATGTGCTGTAGGTCTGCGAGTTATAGGAAGTGTCACTTGTCACCTCTGGTTTCTTCCTGCGGCAGCATCATTTTTAACCTCCCTGAGAGCAAGCAGTGGAGATGAGAGTTGTAGCACAATCAAGGACGGTCTTTTAGTGCAAATATTAGTAAGTTCCTATAAAACAAGTCTCATTTCTTTTTTATTTTATTTGAATTACTTACCAATTTCTTTATTTTTTCTGATTTTTGTGTTGTTGTTTTTTTTTCATGTATCCACATATTTAAGGTTCAAGATTTAAAGTTCTTTTTTGTCATTGGCATCACATGTGGTACATGAGGTGGAATGAAAATGTGTACATAATGTCACAGCTACACTCAAAAATAGCAAAAAATATAAAGTATAAAAACGAAACAGTATACAAGGATCTAATATATCTGCTACTAATAATGTAAAATAAAATAATACGGTATATTAAACAGCAACCTGAACATGAGTCTGTTGTGAGCAGCTGGGTGTGAATACAGCAGTTTTAAAGGCAAGAAATCAGCAGCATGGATAATCAGCAGCATGGATATGTCACATATCACCATTGAGTGGCATTGCAGAGATTTTTTTTCCTTAGAGTGATTTTCCTGGTTAGGGATTTATGAGTCTAACAGCTTCAAGGTAGAAGCTGTTCCTCAGTCTAGTGGTTCTACGTTTAATGTTCCGCAAACTAGGGACGCACGATCCAATTTTTTTTTCACTTCCGATCCGATGCCAATATCTGTTGGCCCGGTATCAGCCGATACCACTCCGATCTGATACAAATAAACAGTGATGAATTATCGATATCATGATCATCATTGATTTTATATGAGGCTGTAATAATCTGCTCTCAAGTACAATTTGTACAAATATATGCATGCATGTCCAAAAAGGCAACTTGAGGTGAGTTTTGTTAACATTGGATAAGTTTTAAAGTTAGAATTAAACTCTGCTAACACAAAACATGTTTATTTTTATTCCTAGTTTTAAAGTGGATATTAAAGTGATTAATTTAAATGATTGTTTAAAGTTGTTTTATATTTTTTTAAATAAGGGGCAGATATAAGATTTTTCTTCTTTCTGCACTCTTTTCATTCAATGTTTTCTTTTTGATGAATTTTTGTTTCTTTTAAATGAATGAATGAATTAAATAAAATAAAATGTTAAATGGCTTCAAACATCTGCTAAGTTCATGACATAAACCAACAGACATGTTCCTGTTTTTAGTATTTTACATCACTTTATAATGTAGCTGGGTTTTTTTTTTTTTTTTTTTAATATATATATAATTTTCTTGTAATTTTCAAATCATATGTTTTTTTATGATTGTCTACTGTTGTACTGATAAATATCTCCTGGAGGGTAAACTATATCTTGGCTGCAAGTATCAAGCTGAGAAATCCTTTGTTTTCTACAACTGATAGTGGTTGGTCATTAATTATGATGAAGTTTATCAACTTCTCTGTAAACTCCGGGGCTTCAGCGACGTCTTCTTCTTGTTCAATAAGAAGCAGCAGCCTGATTTCGGTCAGCTGCGCTCAGTCGGTCCCTCCTCAGAGACGGGCAGATTGGACACAGCTGACCGGGGTCGGGCTGCCTGCTACAGGTTCAGCGAGAGTAGCGCCACGCTGAAGCCACGGAGCTAGAATGTCCATGAAAATAGAATGTCATAAAACTAACTTTACCACAGTTTAATGTGACGCTATGGCTCTGCAGACATTGCACGTTGCTGTCTTGTTTTGTGTGTTTCTAGTATAAAATACTTCCACACAGCGGACATGTTTAGATGAAAAGTTTGTTAGCTGTTAGCCACAGTGCTGCTAACTCAGTCCTCACGTTGTAGCTGCTGCAAACTATGAACTGGATTTCCTGAATGTGAGGCGGGTCTTATTACTCTGGGTTCATGAGACACGCCTCCGTTCAGGAAATCCATTCCATAGATTGAAGCCAACGTGCATCATGGATCGGAAATCTCTGCAGGTTGGATTGGAAAATGGATCGGTCACATTGTCATCGATACCCGATCCAGAAGTTTTTCAGATATCGGTACAGATACCGATATTGATATTGGATTGGTGCATCTCTACCGCAAACTCCTGCCTGAGGGTAGCAGGGCAAAATGTGTGTGTGCTGTGAGTGGGGTCCTTCATGATGTAGGTGGCCCTCTTCCTGCATCTGGAGGTGTAGATGTCTGTGATGGTGGGTTAGCTCAGTCCAACAGTCAACATTCAAGGTTCAAGGATTTATTTTTCTAATACCAGCTCACATTTGCATGTTTATGGTACGAAATTCGGACTCAGGTCCCAGATCACGAAGTCTAACAATTAACAAATAAATACAAAGAGTACAGTGCCTTGTGAAAGTATTCGGCCCCCTTGAACTTTTCAACCTTTTGCCACATTTCAGGCTTCAAACATAAAGATATGAAATTTTAATTTTTTGTGAAGAATCAACAACAAGTGGGACACAATCGTGAAGTGGAATGAAATTTATTGGATGTGTCAAACTTTATTAACAAATAAAAAACTGAAAAGTGGGGCGTGCAATATTATTGGGCCCCTTTACTTTCAGAGCAGCAAACTCACTCCAGAAGTTCAGTGAGGATCTATGAATGATCCAATGTTGTCCCAAATGACTGATGATGATCAATAGAATCCACCTGTGTGTAATCAAGTCTCCGTATTAATGCACCTGCTCTGTGTTAGTCTCAGGGTTCTGTTCAAAGCGCAGAGAGCATCATGAAGACCAAGGAACACACCAGGCAGGTCCGAGATACTGTTGTGGAGAAGTTTAAAGCCGGATTTGGATACAAAAAGATTTCCCAATCTTTAAACATCCCAAGGAGCACTGTGCAAGCAATCATATTGAAATGGAAGGAGTATCAGACCACTGCAAATCTACCAAGACCCGGCCGTCCCTCTAAACTTTCATCTGGAACAAGGAGAAGACTGATCAGAGATGCAGCCAAGAGGCCCATGATCACTCTGGATGAACTGCAGAGATCTACAGCTGAGGTGGGAGAGTCTGTCCATAGGACAACAATCAGTCGTACACTGCACAAATCTGGCCTTTATGGAAGAGTGGCAAGAAGAAAGCCATTTCTCAAAGATATCCATAAAAAGTGTTGTTTAAAGTTTGTCACCTGGGAGACACCAAACATGTGGAAGAAGGTGCTCTGGTCACATGAAACCAAAATCCAACTGTTTGGCCACAATGCAAAACGATATGTTTGGTGTAAAAGCAACACAGCTCATCACCCTGAACACACCATCCCCACTGTCAAACATGGTGGTGGCAGCATCATGGTTTGGGCCTGCTTTTCATCAGCAGGGACAGGGAAGATGGTCAGAATTGATGGAAGATGGATGGAGCCAAATACAGGACCATTCTGGAAGAAAACCTGTTTGATTCTGCAAGAGACCTGAGACTGGGACGGAGATTTATCTTCCAACAAGACAATGATCCAAAACATAAAGACAAATCTACGGTGGCCCTAAGGTGTAAATGAACAAGATTTGAAAAAACAGAATTATATTTGAAAAAACAGAATCACAGAAAAAACAGCATTACATTAAGCCAAAGCGGAAGTGGCCCAAATCACATTAGAAAAAATGGAATTACATTTGAAAAAAACGGAATGACATTTGAAAAAACGGAATTGCATTAAGCCAAACAGGAAGTTTTTTTTATTTTATTTTATGTTTTAACAGCATAAAATCGAACAATAGAACAATATACAATACACACAATGGAGATATGTGTGTACTGTATTCTAAAAAAGTTGTCAGGTCCTCTGGATGTTCAAAAAACAACAACAAAAAATAAATAAAATTCTAGAAACGTTTCATCTTTCATCCGAAAGGCTTCTTCAGTCTGATGAGCTGTATGCAGCTCAGTCTTATAAATAGCACCTTCTCATAGCGGGTCAACCAGTTTGTTGTTGACATTCAAAACTAGTTGTTCACATGATCAAGGAGGACCATCAGCCTAACAATGGATCATTAGCACCCTGATGGCTGCTTGCTATCCACAGGGGGCTGAGTGATACTAGCAATAATAGCATTGTAAGAGGGGGACAGTTGAACACGGAGGTCTCCAGAGGACCTGACTTAACTTTTTTAGATTTTTCTACCTGGATTGTTGAGCTTGCATCAGGATATACTGTATATTGTTCTGTTGTTTGGTTTGATGCTGTTAATAAAGTTAAAAAAAAAAAAAAACTTCCTATTTGGCTTAATGTAATTCTGTTTTTTTCTAATGTGATTCTGTTTTGTCTGGTAAGGTCTATTCGGGGGTTCAGGAGAGGAGAGTCCGTCGGATAGTCGAACCTGGGATTCAGGAGGAGCAGTGCGGTTTTCGTCCTGGTCGTGGAACACTGGACCAGCTCTACATTCTCAGCAGGGTCCTGGAGGGTGCGTGGGAGTTTGCCCAACTGGTCTACATGTGCTTTGTGGACTTGGAGAATGCGTTCGACCACATCCCTCGGGGAACCCTGTGGGGGGTACTCTGGGAGTATGGGGTACTGGGCCCTTTGATACGAGCTGTTAGGTCCCTGTATGACCGGTGTCAGAGCCTGGTCTGCATTGCCGGCAGTAAGTCGGGTTTGTTCCTGGTGAGAGTTGGGCTCCGCCAAGGTTGCCTTTTGTCACCGATTGGGGCGGTTGTGACTGAGTGGTTAGAGCAGTCGTCCTCCAATGCGAGAGTTGGGGGTTTGAGTCCACCAGCAGTCACATGTCGAAGTGTCCCTGGGCAAGACACTGAACCCCTCATAGCCTCTGATGTGTGTCCCATCAGTGTATGAATGTGATCTAAAAAAGCACAGATTAGTCTCATTAGAATGATTTGTTCAATTATCTTTGTATTGATGTAGTAAAGTGCTGCATGAATGGTAAATGAGGACACAGATTGTAGTGTGAAGCGCTTTGAGTATCTTGAAATAAGATAGAAAGGCACTATATAAGTACAGTCCACTGAAAAAAAAAAAAACGTAATTATAAATTTGTAAGGCAGCTTAGTTTTTATAAATGATGGCAGTCTTAAATGAGCCTGTAAAATCTTTGATTTTCTTTTGCACTAGTCAGATCCTCAACACCACCTGTCAATCTGTCCAATATGCTTATCATTCATTCAACCTTGATTTATACAGGTTAGTCTCATTGAGCCTTGAGGACTCATTTACAATAGAGACCTGTTTTAAACAAACACAGATGATGTATAGACATAGACAATAGACAGTCATATAAAAGCATGTGAAATGAAAAATAAATCAAAGAAATGATATAAAAATTTTGAAAAAAAATGTTACATTATGAAGCAATGTAAAACATTAAAAACAGGAACATGTCTTTGTTGGTTTTTGCCATGAACTTAGCAGTTGTTTAAAATCCCTTAGAGTGGTCCATGTCGACAACTTCAGATCTTTTGGCAAGGTGTTCCAAGTTACAGAAGTGGAGTAAGATAAGGCCCTGAAGTTATTGATGACCAATTAACCAGTGAATACAGAGTGCAATCATGGGTACGGTAGTTACAGCCAGTTATGAATCTTAGCTCACCGTGATAGACAGCATCCAGCATCTGCAGAGTGCTTGCAGGAGCATTCATGTAAATAATGTCACCACAGTCAATGAAGGGAAGGAAAGTAGCTGTTACAAGGCATTTTCTAGCATTCAGAGTTAGACAAGATCTACAGTCTAAAAAAAGTTAAATCTGGTCCTCTGGACATTCCAAAAAAATATATTAAAAATTGTAGAAACGTTTCGTCTTTCATCCAAAAGACTTCCTCAGTCTGAGGTGCTGTATTCAGCTCAGTCTCTTAAATAGCACCTTCTCAGAGTGGATCAACCAGTTTTGCTGCTGACAACCAAAACCAGCTGATCACATGATCAAGAAGGACCATCAGCCTAACAATGGATCATCAGCACACTGATGGCTGTTTACTATTCACGAGCATGCATCAGGACAGGATCTACAGTATTTCTGAAAAATAGAAACAACTGGTCAGCAACTGAGCAATCGGTGACCTCAATTTGTCTCAAAGGTAAACACCCCTTACCTTCAGGAGCAACATCCCTTTTTCCTCTGACATTTTCGGGGTTTTGCATTACGAACACTTTGCCGTCAGTTAATAGTTAAATAAAGGTTAATATTTAAAGCTAGTTGTGCATTATTTTGTGTGTTTTTTATGCACATCTATGTTGCAACTTTTTGTTGCATAAGTTTAGTCTTTGTTTGTTATGATCCTTTAAAAGTCCTATTTGTGACTTCACTCCTCATTTACCACCATACCACCCTGGACTCACCCGATCTCGTCTGATCTTGGAAGCTAAGCAGGGTAGGGCCTGGTTAGTACTTGGATGGGAGACTGCCTGGGAATGCCAGGTGCTGTTCGCTTTTGCATTTCTCACAAACCACACCGTGGGGTACAGTCATTGTCAGTACTGGGAGCTCAGCACCCCAAAAGGTCAGATCCTAGAATCGCCCCTGGTTCGCTGCTTTGTTTTGATGTGACTGTGTATGTCATCACATTTTCTTGCTGTTACAGTGAAATATGTGCCAACAAACTTATCAAAACTTTATTCATGCATATTAATTTGCTATAAACTTTGTGTGTGGTGTTAAATGTCATGCAGACTTCTTTTGCCACAGCTGTCTGTCTCTATGCCTCCTTGGCCCATGTTGCCAACTCCCCAGGAAAGTAGTTAGATATTGGCTGTTCTAAAAGTCACTCAATGATGTCATTACCTAATTGGCATAATTGACAATAGAGGAATAATGGTACAACTCATCCTCCCTCATTAATAACAACTCATCCTTGTGTTCTGATGTTACATGCGTTATCTTTCCCTAAATGTTTTCCACCTTTGTGCTCTAGCTGACACACCCATTGAGGAGTTTACACCAACACCGGCCTTCCCAGCGCTGCAGTACCTGGAGTCAGTGGATGAGGGTGGGGTGGCATGGCAGGCGGGGCTCAGGACGGGTGACTTTCTGATTGAGGTAAGAGCTGTTTTCCATTTGGAGCATTTTCAGGACTTTAATCAGGGTTTTGTTCACGAGTGAGGGAAGAATGGAGTGTGAGATTGGCAGACAGATTGGTGCAGCATCAGCAGTATTGCGGACTCTGTGCCAGTCCGTTGTGGTGAAGAGGGAGCAGAGCTGTAAGGCAAAGCTCTCTGTTTACTGGTCAGTCTACGTTCCTACCCTCACCTATGGCCACAAACTCTGAGTAGTGACTGAAAGAATGAGAATGCGGATGCAGGTGGTTGAAATGAGTTTCCTCCTCAGTGTAGCTGGACTCTCCCTTAGAGATACCATACCGTACCACTTTATTTGTAGATCACTTAAAACAGCAACAAATCCAACTGAAGTGCTGTATAGTAGAACAAATAAGCAAAGCACAAAGCAAAACATAAAATAAAGTAAAATAAAAATATAAATGTGAATGGAAAAAGATAATAACTAAATGGCTAACACTGTAGAATACAGACAGGTTAAAAACAAATCACACTGTGTCAAAAGCCAACAAATAAAAGTGGGTTTTTATGTGAGATTTAAAAACGGTGAAAGAAGGGGCCTGCCTGACATGCAGTGATAAGTTATTCCGTGCAGTCTTGGACCTGCAACAGAGAAAGCCCTGTCACCTCTGAGCTTACGACGGGTTCCTGGAACTGAAAGAAGCATCTGATTAACTGACTTCAGAGAGCGCTGTGGGACATATGGCTGCAGCAAATCATTGAGATAAGAGGGGGCAGAACTGTTCAGTGCTTTAAAAACATACGTGAGTATTTTGACCTGAATTCGAAAGTGAACCGGGAGCCAGTGCAGCGAAGCCAAAACTGGTGTGATGAGCTCTATTTTGCCTATACCAGTTAAAAATTGGGCTGCAGCATTTTGGACCAGTTGTAGTTGTGCAATGGAGGTCTGGTTGATTCCAAACAGAAGCACATTGCAGTAATCGAGCCTGGATGTTATAAACGCATGGATTACAGTCTCAAAGTTATTTTTGGACAGTATGGGCTTCAGTTTAGGACAGCACAGTGGCACAACTGGTAGAGCTGCTGCCTCTCAGCGAGCATGTCCTTGGTTCAAACCCCAGTCCAGGGGCCTTTCTGGGTGGAGTTTGCATGTTCTCTCCGTGCATGCGTGGGTTTTCTCCGGGTGCTCCGGTTTCCTCCCACAGACCAAAAACATGCATGTTAGACTGTTTGGTAATTCTAAATTCTCCCTAGGTTTGAGTGCGAGAGTGAATGGTTGTTTGTCTCGTTTGTCTCTTTGTGGCCCTGTGATGGACTTGCGACCTGTCCAGGGTGTACCCCACTCCTCGCATATTGCTGGACATGGACACCAACGACCCCCATGACCTAAAATGGAAGAAGCGGGTAAAAGATAATGGATGGATGGGCTTCAGTTTAGACAGCTGCCTCAGCTGGAAAAAACAGGATTTCACAATCATGTTTACATGAAGTTTCATGGAAGGGTCCGTTATCACTCCCAGATTAGTGACTCTGTTTCTCTAACAGGGCTAAAGAGGAGAGGTCGATACCATGGTTCTTGATCGTGCCAGTAGGAGGAAACAACATGACTTCAGTCTTCTTCTCGTTAAAACTTAAGAAATTTAAAGACATCCAGGGCAGCACGGTGGCGCAACTGGTAGAGCTGCTGCCTCTCAGCGAGCAGGTCCCTGGTTCAAACCCCGGTCCAGGGGCCTTCTGGGTGGAGTTTGCATGTTCTCTCCGTGCATGCATGGGTTTTCTCCGGGTACTCCGGTTTCCTCCCACAGACCAAAAACATGCATGTTAGGCTGATTGGTAACTCTAAATTGTCCCTAGGTGTGAGTGAGAGAGTGAATGGTTGTTTGTCTCGTTTGTCTCTATGTGTCCCTGTGATGGACTTGCGACCCGTCCAGGGTGTACCCCGCCCCTGGCACAGTGATTGCTGGACATGGGCACCAGCGACCCCCGTGACCCAAAATGGAATAAGCGGGTAAAGATAATGGATGGATGGATGAAGACATCCAGTCCCTGATGTCAGCCAGGCAGTCAAGAAGAGGTTGAATAGAATGTGCACTTGTGTGCTTCAGCGAGAAACAAATTTGACAGTCATCGGCATAGAAATGAAAGGGTATGTTATGTTTATGGAAAATAGCACATTGTGGCAGCAGGTATAAAACAAAAAGAGAAAAGGACTGAGAATGGACACCTGCAATAACCCCCACAAACAAATGGGAGTCTGGAGACATGCCTGAAGTTGGACTGACTGAGGGGTCAAGGTTAGGTTTTTTTCAGCGGAAGTTGAACAGTACCATGTTTAAAAGTTTTTGACACCTCACCTGAGATTAAACTGCTATTCACAATAGAGAGAATAGAGGGTACCAGAATAGAAAAGACCTCCTTTAGAAGTTGAAGGGGAACATTACCAAAGGGGGAACCAGATGGTTTCAAGATGGACATTACTTGCTCCAAGAAAGACTGAGAGATGGGCTCAAAGTGGTCAAATACAGCTACACAGTAGTTATGTTTACATGGCCATAAGTAATCGGATCAAACGGCCGTTCAGAATAAAATCACGTCATGTAAACACCCCGTTCTGGTTATTTTTTGTTTATTCAGCGTGATCCGAAATAATTTGTGATCAGAACGAAACGGGTGGTCTACGTCGATTCATAACCCGAACGGTGTCCATGTAAACACTTGATCTGTTCATTTTTTTCTGATGGTGACAAACTGACCTGACTGCGCATGTGCGACCTTGTCATTTCCGCCTGGCTAATGCTAATAATAGTAGCATGTCGGGGAAGTTAAACTGGTCGGTGAGCGACACAACATTTCTACTAGAAACTTTCAAAAAGCTCAAAATGTTCTGTATCACCTGTAGCTCAGACAGGGAGTGCAGTAACATCTCCACCATCATTAAAACTTGTCGCGGGTCCATTTTGGGTGCTCAGGTTTGTTTATGTTCATCGCGGAAGTAAACCGGAAGTAGAACTTCTTCTTCTGTAGTTTTTTAAAGGAGAGTTTACCACTCTGCACATGTCAGTACTTCTGTTCAGAACAAAGTCCGCTGCATGTACTTTGTAAACGCTCGTCATGAACAGATTGTGCCCATTTAAACAATACTTTTGAATTATTTAATCTGAAAACATTTCAATCCGGTCAAAAAATGTTGCGCATGTAAACATAGCTAGTGAGACGAGATGGCTGGATCATGAGCTGGTGGCGAAATGAGTGCCCGGGTGTTCACAACTTTTTCAAAAAAGAAATGGAGAAAGTTCTCGTACAGCTCAGTTGAAGTAAAAAAACGTTCAATACAAAAACAACTGGACTTTATTTGTAACAGAAGACGTTTTGTTCCTCATCCGAGGAGCTTTCTCAATTCAAAGAGCAGTGAGTGAGGGGTTCAGGTTATAAGGCTGAGATAAGATACACACACATATGTAGATTGACAAATCACACCTCACACCTTAACAGTAGGGGTTTCTTAAGGACTTTGTTAAACTAATTCACAGACGAGGCCCCTCTGTTCCCATCAGGTGTGAAAACTGGCTGGGAATCTGTCAAAGTTGCATTATACATTTTTGAAAGTTGAAATGTGAGGCCTCCTCCTCTGTTAAGAGATGGTTTTTCTCTTTTAACATAAATTGCTTCCTTCACCCCCCTCTCAAACCATCTGTGTTCTCGGTCCAAAATGTGCACAGTTTGGTCCTCAAAAGAGTGTCCCTTATCTGTGAGGTGGAGGTGAACAGCTGAGTCTTGTCCTGTGGAGCTGGCTCTCCTGTGTTGAGTCATGCGTCTGTGAAGAGGCTTTTTAGTTTCTCCAATGTAGAGGTCTGGACAGTCCTCGCTGCACTGGACCGCATACATTACACCACTCTGTTTGTGTATGGGTGTTTTGTCTTTAGGGTGGACCAGCCTCTGTCTGAGAGTCCTGCTGGGTTTGAAATGTACTGGGATGTTGTGTTTGTTGAAGATCCTTCTGAATTTCTCTGATACTCCAGCAACATAAGAGATGACAATGTTTTTACGTCTGTTGTTTTCCTTTTTCTGTTTATTAGTGTTTTTAATTGATTTCCTCTCTGACTTTACAAAAGCCCAGTTAAGATATCCACATGTTTGGAGAGCTTCTTGGATGTGTTTCTGTTCCTTTTCTTTCCCTTCTGTCATCATGGGGACACGTTCAGCTCGATGCTGTAAAGTTCTGATATAAAAAAAAAATAGAAATAGAAGTGTTCACCAGACACAGTAACTTAGTTGATAACAACATCAAGTTCACCAGAGAGGATGCAAACGACAACAAGCTGCCTGTTTTGGACTGTTTGATTCAGATGGAAAGAGAGGACAGCCTCAACATTGAAGTTTAACCAACACAGACCAGTATCTTCTGTTTGACTCTCACCATCCACTGGAACACAAACTCTCTGTCATCAGAACTTTGCATAGTTTCATCATCAGTTTTCATTTTCTAACAGGACTTGGCACCTGCACACAGTGCCAAAGCTACCAGTACCTGGTTTAAGGACCATAGTATCCCTATTCTTAACTGGCCAGCAAACTCGCTTGACCTTAACCCCATTGAAAATCTAGGAGATATTGTGAAGAGGAAGATGTGTTACACCAGACCCAACAAGAGCTGAAGGCCATTATCAGAGCAACCTGGGCTCTCATAACACCTGAGCAGAGCCACAGACTGATCGACTCTATGCCACGCTGCATTGCTGCAGTAATCCAGGCAAAAGGAGCCCCAACTAAGTATTGAGTGCTGTACATGTTCATACTTTTCATGCTCATACTTTTCATGTTCATACTTTTCAGTTGGCAACATTTCTAAAAATCCCTTTTTTAATTGGTCTTAAATATTCTAATTTTCTGTGATATTGAATTTGGGGTTTTCATTAGTTGTCAGTTATAATCATCAACATTACAATAAATAAACATTTGAAATATATCAATCTGTGTGTATTGAATGAATATAATATACAAGTTTCACTTTTTGAATGGAAT